CGTACATGCTTAGGAATGATATATATCGATTGTTTGAAGTAGGTATTCTAATATAATTTGATATGCATGTATGTTGATATGAGGATAGATGGCCTTATGGATCAATTAGCGGGCGTTTAGTAAGGTTGACCTCAAGGTGTGATATCATCAAATTAGAGTTGAGAGTGAGGATTTATCCTAGACAGTTCTAGGCTAAGTTTTCTAAGTATGAATTTTGGTTGTATAAGAAAAGTTTTCTAGGTCCTGTGATTTTAGTGGAGGTATAATGTAGATGTATCTAAGGTAGAAGATGTACTTAAGTGGGAGATACCAAAGTTAGTTAGTGAGGTTAAGAGTTTTCTTAGATTAACTTATTATTATAGGAAAGTTATTGAGGAAATTCCTAAGATAACATTACCTTAGAGTAGATTGACGAGGAAGAGGAGTTGCCTTTGTGTGGGATGGTAAGTATGAGAGTAGCTTCCAAACTCTTAAGGAAAGGTTGGCTAGTGCTAATATTACTGGATTTTAGTAAGCCTTTTATGGTATATAGTGATGCTTCTAAGATAGGTTTGGATGGAGTGCTGATGCAAGAAGGAAAGGTAGTAGCTTATGCTTCTAGGAAATTGAGAAATCATGAGAGGAATTACCTTATCTATGACCTTGAGTTAGAAATTATGATATTTACACTAAGATTTGGAGACAATACCTAGATGATTCTAAGCTTGAGGTGTTTAGTGATCATTAGAGCCTTAAATATCTTTTGACCAAAGAAGATAGTTGAAATTTCTTAAGGACTAGGATTTTAATCTTAGTTGTGTTATCTAGGTAAAGCCAATGTCGTGATCGATGCTTTGAGTAGGGAACCTTTATATTTGCCTTTCCTTATGATTAGAGAGATGGATCTTTTAGTTCAAATTAGGGATTTAAGCGTGACTTATGAGGTTACCCTTAGTAGTGTGAGACTAGGTATGACTCGAATAACTAGTGGATTGTTAAAGGAAAATTGGAGGAACATAATTTGTTGATTCATTTTGGTGATAAGATATGAGGCTATAGGGCAAGATAATGGATAAGTGTTTACCTTGGGTATAGATAAAGTGGTAAGACTTTGAGATCGAGTATGTGTACCTAGATAGCTTTTGGCCTAGTGGTAAGCGCTCGATCCAACAATTGCTATCAAAGCCAAGGTCATGAGTTCGATACCCAGCAGGACAATTGCTGAGGGGGAGATTGTTGCGGGTTGCATCAATTGTCCCGTGGCGAAGGCTAGGTGGGCCAAGTCACTGTCGAATCATGGCGCTTGGGCTGCTACGCTCTTAAGTAGAAAGAGTTGCGCCCTGACTATCAGCTATAGCTTTTGGCCTAGTGGTAAGCGCTCGATCCAACATATGAGACCAAAGAGATAACTGAAATTTCTTAAGGACTAAGATTTTGATCTTAGTTGTCATCTAGGCAAAGCCAGTATGGTGGCTGATGCTTTGAGTAGAAGACCTCTAGATATATCTTCCTTTATGGTTAGAGAGATGGATCTTTTGGCTCGGTCTAAGGATTTTAAGCATGACTTATGAGGTTACCCTTAGTAGTGTGAGACTAGGTATGACTCGAATAACTAGTGGATTTTTAAAGGAAAATTGGAGGAACATAATTTGTTGATTCATTTTGGTGATAAGATATGAGGCTATAGGGCAAGATAATGGATAAGTGTTTACCTTGGGTATAGATAAAGTGGTAAGACTTTGAGATCGAGTATGTGTACCTAGTGAACTTATGCTTAGGTGGTTGATCTTTAGAGAGGGTCATAGAAGAATAGCTAATATTATGGTAGATGTCTTGAGTAAGATGACCATTCACCTTCCATCTTTGATGATTTAAGGGTTGTATTTGATTGAAGAACTTAGAGACTTAAGCGTGATGTGTGAGCTCACCCTTAGAAGCATTGAATTTAGTATGTTGAAGTGACTAATGAATTAATGGACGAGATTAGAGAAGCCTAGGAGTTAGATCCTTTCTTGGTGAACCAAGTGAAGAGGATTGGTAAGGGTATAGATAGCCCTTTACGAGTGGAAGTTGATGGTGTTTTGGGGTTCAATGATAGGATCTATGGCCTAGTAATCTTGAATTTTGGAAGATGATCTTAGAGGGAGGACATAAGAGTACTCTTAGCATCTATTTAGGAACTACTAATGATGGAACTAGTTGAAGTAGATTGTGATTCCTTCAATGATTCCATGCTAAGGACCGAAATGCCTTGAGGTTGACCTTATGATAAGTTCGAATTCTCCTTGAATAAGTCTTCAATGGAGGAGAAGCCTTGGAAGGAGGTTCGATTACTTCAAGCTTGGAGTAGAAGCTTGATGAACCAAAACAAAGTTTGAAGAAACTTTGAGGGAAAACCTAGAGTGGAGGTTCTCTACGGTTTTAGGGACTCTTGAGTTGAGAGAAAAAAATTCAAGATTACTAGGCCATAGATCCTATCATTGAACCTCGAAACACCATCAACTTCCACTCGTAAAGGGCTATCTATACCCCTACCAATCCTCTCCACTTGGTTCACCAAGAAAGGATCTAACTCCTAGGCTTCTCTAATCTTGTCCATTAATTCATTAGTCACTTCAACATACTAAATTCAATGCTTCTAAGGGTGAGCAAGAATAATTTCTCTAGAAAAACTTTAAAATTTACATCAATATTATGATGCATTTTCTAGTTTCGAAATCTTACACATAAATTGAAAATTTTTGGTGATACATGGAACTAAAGCTATACACCATCCTCATCTAGAGATAATATATGTTAGAAGTGATTAAAACATTATAAATACCACCCTTGTGCTGAAATGTAATACACAGAATAAGAAAGTATATTTTTCTCTCCTTTGCCTCTGTGAGTGTGTGTGTTTCGTGTTTTGTTCTGCCTCTTTCTTCCAACAAATTGGTATCTAGAGCCAGGGTTTCGTTCAAGGGGTTCTCGAGACACACGATGGGTTCAACAGGTACGAATTTTCTGGCAAATCTTCCCGTTCTCAATGGAAAGAACTGGGATCGGTGGCGTATGCAGATGAAGGCGATTCTGGGTTATCAAGAAGTTGCAGAAATCGTCGAAGAAGGTTATCCAACACTCATTAAAGACTCGACAGATGCACAGAAGGCGTTTCACAGAGAAAATAAAAGGAAAGACTGTAAAGCGACCTTCTTGATTCATCAATGTGTTGATGAGGCGCACTTTGAGAAGATTGCAGGTGCTGCAACTTCGCAAGAAGCGTGGAAGATTCTGGAAAAATGTAGTGAAGGAGCAGAGCAATTGAAGAAGGTGAGATTGCAGACGATGAGGCATCAATACGAATTGATGCAAATGGAGAATAATGAAAAGTAGAAATATATTATTATTATAGAGGAAAAATATTTTATAATATACATGTATTTATTTTATTCAATTATTTGGAGGAAAAAAAGAAGTGGGATAGAAGAGAAGGAAAATGGGTTGGGTTGACCCAGCCCAATGGATTAATTTTAAGAAAGGAGTCAGGTAGCGTTAATCCTATCTACCTCGTTTGTGTTTTGAAGGGTTAGGGAAAAAAAAGGAGAAACAAAGAGCTCTAAGGAAGAGTACTCAGAAACGATCTTAGATCACACCAAGACCATTCATCTTCTGCTCAATCAGGTAAGGGGGGAGTGAGAAACCTTACTCTAGGTGTGGGAATGTATGTTGGGTAGTGGGATTGGCCTCCAATCTTGTGTTTGTTGTATGCTCATGTATCAGGAATTTTTCCCAATTGTATCTATTTCATCTATTATTCCTCTTGTATGTAATTAATTATATAAATTGCTTGAATGAATGATGAATTTTAGTTTTAAAATTGTAATTGTATGATTTGAGATTTTTGTGGGTTTCTACGGAAAATCCTATGAGAAAACAGGCAAAATATGAATATTTTATGTTTTGCCTTCTGATTGTATTGTTGTGTTATTTGTTGGATGTGATGCATGACTATGTGGTTCATTTTGAAAATGAATATGGTTTTATATAAATTAAAGTGCTTTGGGAAAATTGTGAATATGATGTGATAATATGATAATGTGATATGGTGATGTGATATGGTGATGTGATGTGATGATGTGATATGATGATGTGATACGATAATGAGACATGATAATGTGATATGGTGATGTGATATGATGATGTGTTATGATGATGAGACATGATAACATGATATGCTTAGGTGGTTGATCTTTAGAGAGGGTCATAGAAGAAAAGCTAATATTATGGCAGATGCCTTGAGTAGGATGACCATTCACCTACCATCTTTGATGATTTAAGGGTTGGATTTGATTGAAGAACTTAGAGACTTAAGCGTGATGTGTGAGCTCACCCTTAGAAGCATTGAATTTAGTATGTTGAAGTGACTAATGAATTAATGGACAAGATTAGAGAAGCCTAGGAGTTAGATCCTTTCTTGGTGAACCAAGTGGAGAGGATTGGTAAGGGTATAGATAGCCCTTTACGAGTGGAAGTTGATGGTGTTTCGAGGTTCAATGATAGGATCTATGGCCTAGTAATCTTGAATTTTGGAAGATGATCTTAGAGGGAGGACATAAGAGTACTCTTAGCATCCATTTAGGAACTACTAAGATGTATCATAGTGGCGTAGCGGAAGCATGGTGGCCTAAGGCGAAGAGAGGAGTAGAGGAAGTTTTCAAAAAGGTTATTATTATTATTATTATTATTATTATAAGATATTTGGTCATAATTATTTTAATAATTATAGAGGAATATTATTTTGTACGTTTTAAATAATTATTGTTTTGGACAATTATTTTATACGTATTAAATAAGTATTTTTATTAGCGTTTTTAAATAAATATTTATATGTTTTAAGAGAAGGTTGATTTTATATGATATTTTTTTATTAAAATTATATTATTATATTTTGGGTTAGAAATATATTATTATTATAGAGGAAAAATATTTTATAATATACATGTATTTATTTTATTCAATTATTTGGAGGAAAAAAAGAAGTGGGATAGAAGAGAAGGAAAATGGGTTGGGTTGACCCAGCCCAATGGATTAATTTTAAGAAAGGAGTCAGGTAGCGTTAATCCTATCTACCTCGTTTGTGTTTTGAAGGGTTAGGGAAAAAAAAGGGCACATATAGTGAGGTACAGATTTAATAAGAAAAATTCACACAAATTTCGGATATAACAACTCAAAACAAACTAGGTCAAACAAGCTAGTCTAGGAAGCTCTCAACATACAAAGGACTACACATGACTCTAGACAAAACATATGATTCAAAAATAAAAACATACACTAAGTATTATCAATGTCCAATCATGGACTCATGCTTATAGGAATAGAGAGACTCAAGCAAAAATAAAAGCACAAGCACATGAACCTAAAGCACAAACCGAATTGATTCAAGGAATTAGGAACAAGCAAAAATCATGAATCAATTACTTCACATGTGACATAAGGATCCATCAAAAATTTTAGAAGACATAGATCCACGCAGCAAACACAAGTTTAGACAAAAAATAAGGAAGGAACAACACGGATTCAAGTAGAAAAAATTAGAAAGTGTGAATATGATGTGATAATATGATAATGTGATATGGTGATGTGATATGGTGATGTGATGTGATGATGTGATATGATGATGTGATACGATAATGAGACATGATAATGTGATATGGTGATGTGATATGATGATGTGTTATGATGATGAGACATGATAACATGATATGGGAATGAGATATGAAAATGTGATATGAGAAAAGCATGGAGTCTTGATTAACATGCATCATGTGCATAAATGTTTTTAAGGGTACAATATGGAATACACCGCCAGAGAAGGCCCCCTAGTGTAAAAGCTTTAGGGATTAGTCCTTGGGGATAACTCGGTTTCTAAGTCCCAGTCTCGCCCATTGTGTGCATGGAATGTATCTTGGGCGGCTTAGCTATCCTAATGAGACTCTAGTAGTATGTCCTTCTAATGAGAGTACGCAGAGGATGTGACCCGGCATGTACTCCTAGACTACTCTTCGTGTATTGCTAGCGGCAATATGTCATGTGATATGTTACTAGCGCCATATGCATGATAAAATGTAGTACGTGTCCATACATGTGCATATTAATGTTATATGAAAAATTGATGTCTTGAATGAGTGAGATGTGATGATTTTATTAATTTATCTATGTTATACCTGTTTTGTTTGTGTTTGGCTATCCGGCGTATATTTCTACACTATGAGCCAGGGTGAGATGTTTCTCACTCCCTTTTTCTTGTGTTGTTTTTCCTTGACTGTCTTACAGGTAATTATCAGCACGAGGCTGAGGATGTTGGTGAGGAATCTTAGGCTTCTATATTGGGATTTTCTCTGATAGGACATGTGACATCGGGCGTAGATAGGATTAGATTAAGATGTTTTTATTAAATTATTTTGGAAACTTTAGTTTTATTTCTTTGTAATTTCCGTTGATTTTGTTAAGTTATGGATGTGGTACTCTCTATCTGAACACGTTTGATATTTTAATTATGAAATGTTATGTTATTCAATTTTTGTTATTTGTGTTATGGTATGTGGGGTAGAGGGTGTCACAAACTTCATTTTGAAAATTTCATTGCTTTAGGAATGCCCGAGAACTGGACTAATCATTCACCAATGGTTTTTGAAAAGGTTCGAAGGATATTAAAATTATATTATTATATTTTGGGTTAGAAATATATTATTATTATAGAGGAAAAATATTTTATAATATACATGTATTTATTTTATTCAATTATTTGGAGGAAAAAAAGAAGTGGGATAGAAGAGAAGGAAAATGGGTTGGGTTGACCCAGCCCAATGGATTAATTTTAAGAAAGGAGTCAGGTAGCGTTAATCCTATCTACCTCGTTTGTGTTTTGAAGGGTTAGGGAAAAAAAAGGAGAAACAAAGAGCTCTAAGGAAGAGTACTCAGAAACGATCTTAGATCACACCAAGACCATTCATCTTCTGCTCAATCAGG